GTAAAATGTAAGGTGATGCAAATTTGTAATATTTAAAAATAAAAAAATAATTCATAATATAATATTAATTAATATTTGAAAGTCTTTTGCATTTATAGGTTTTTGAACTGGAAACTTCCAAAGTAACAAAACTTCTATTTGGTTCGACATTTTGGGGTGCCTTTTGTCCCAAAATCTTTGTAGAACAATCTCCTTTTTGCAGGCTAATAGCGTTTTTGTGAACCAAAGTTCTTTTAAACTGCGGACGGTCACAAATGTATGTTTTAATGTCTAAAAGAAATATATAAGCAAATAATTCAAAGCAAAAGGAACTATGAAACCTATGAATTCACATAAGTTCCTCTGATTAAATAACTTTAAACAAAGGTTAGTTAGTTATTTTTTGTTAGACACGCAGCAAAAGTTAGTTAGTTAGTTTATAGACATTCAGCATCTCAGACTATCAAAGTATTTACAAAGAATATGAAAGATGGGTGCATATACAAAAATTCAGATTTTTAAATTAAGGGAGGCAAAAAGTTTCAGTAGTTTGGTTGTCTTATTAGCATAAAAGCGCTTATATACGTATCAACTGACATAGAGCATTGGGTTCTAAAACAGCTAAAGCAAGATTTTCTTCCCGATTTTCACTTTTTTTCCTGAAGTATTTTTTTTTTTTTTTTTTTTTTTTTTTTTTTTTTGTGGGGATGGCTTATTTACGGCTCGAGGGATTTTTGTTCAGTGGCTGGAATCAGGAGGTGCCCTAAAAAATTGAAAATCTTAAAATTAAAAGCGTCCTATGTAGAGTAATGTATTTCGGTTGGTAAAAACCGAACTTTTTTTTCTCAGTGTAGGCTATGCAGAGTAGGTCTAGCAATTTACGTGCACTGTAGAATGAAGAATCGATACTAACTAGGGACATTGAGATTTGCTCCATGACTCACTTTTCCTTAAGCGGCGAGTGCGATTATACATGTCTGATAAACACATCTTAGATCATTGATAATATAGACAACCCACCGCCACTAATCTTACCATGCCTAGGATAGAATTCTAAAGCTCGTCTTTGCTCCTTTTTTGGCTGAGAGTCCCAACCTTTGTTCCAATTCAATCTGGCGAGAGATCTTCATCTTGTTTAATTTCTCTCTCTCCTCCTCTCTCTCCTTTTGCTAGATGTCCCGTAACATCCCTAATTTTTTCCGAGGTTTGTAGGTGACTATTTTTTAACTAATATTTTCTGTAATTACTACCAACCAATTTCAGGGGCGCATGTTGAGGAAACCCCATCACAGATAGTCAAGCAAAAACATTTAAAATACTGCAATTGAGAAACTTGGAGGAAAAGATGCAAGAGTGCAACTTTTGATATTTCGAGAAATACGTTTTCGAAGTTTCCAAATTACATGAATCTTTATGGCGGAAAGAAAGTTCAAACCGACTTTTTGATGCTTAAAAATTGGAAATTAAGGGCGAATTTTTCACAGAATATGCAGGAAGAGTAGTTATGTTCTAAATAATTAATATATCAATATTTTTCAAAATCTGCACTCATGCGCCTTTTTCTCCAAGTCCCTCATACACTGGAAAAAAAACACATCGGATCTAGAGTTCAGACTCTTAAAAACATCGACAAGAAAAGGTACTCTTGATTCAATCAGAATCTAACTTAAATCAAGAACCAAGCCTCTTAATTTAAGCGGATTTCGTTTCGATTCAAGCAAAAATTTGATTGATTCAAGAGTATTTTTTCTTGTCAATGTTTTCAAGAGTCTGGACTCTATATCCAATGTGTTTTTTTTCCAGTGTATATCCAGTGTAAATATTCTCATTATTTCTTATTAAAAATCACATCAAGGTTACCGAAATAAACTTCATAAAAATTTGATGGCGTAGCGAATGATCTAATTCCTTAGACTTGGGACAAAAATCCAAAACCTTACAACATGAGCTTTGGGAGAGGTTCGATTATGACGGTGGCGAAGTGTGAAACCGCGGGTGGAGATAAGGAAAGTGAAGGTCACGATTATTGTACTGGGTTCCAGGTCGATCGTTACCAAATATTTAATTGTTGGCGGCTTAAGTCTGGGGCGGGCTCGTACCCAAACAATCCGACTTGGATTCGTCGCGCGGGCGGAGGCGGACAGCAATAATTATGGCCTGTGTTCGCGGTCGCGGTTAAGCGGTCATGGAGCCATGATTCACAGCTCCATCTCATCCAACGATCGGGTCTACTTAGGCGGCTTCTATCACTTCTTGATATCGTTAAACGCCTTGTAAAATTGGATGGTACTGAAAGCGCAGTAAAGTTTCCGTGTTTCTGGTTTCTCTGGGTTACTTTGGGTTGCTTTATTCGGTCAAATCGAACAGCAGGACTTGGTTGATCTACAGTACCTGTATAGCGAGAGCATGGACAGATCACTTCATGGAGGGCTTAGGGCCCTAAAGTGCAGCCACCCTTCTAACCAACTTCTAACGCACAAAATTTCACTGCCAGTCTGCAGATTCCAATTCTAACCAAGATGGCTAAGGGTGTACATAAATGAGCGTTCTTCTGCAAAAATGAGTAAATTTACGCAAAAACTAAGTCAAATACGTGCTTTATAAACGATGGTTCGTAGCAATTGCATTAGTAAATCGCTCTGGATAATTGAAATTCATATAGGTTGACTGCATTTCTGGGCCCTGACTTTATTAGCGGAGGCATCGGTGAAGGCCTGATGGATTTTCGGAGTTTCACATCTGTCTATACTCTCGCTATACAGGTACTCTAGGTTGATCGTTACATTTTTGGTTACATCGATTGAGACGGTAGGTTACTCTGAGACGTTTGGGGATGAGTAAGTGTCATGCTGAGCTACACGGACAGAAATTCCAAGAGGAAAGTTTGGTTAATAAGGGAAATAAGACACAGAATGGATGTATTTCTGTCAAACGGAACGATGTGCATTATGACGTGAGCCCTGTTATGCATAAATTCTTATGGGTCTCAGGGCACATGTCTAAATGCATATAGTCCCGTTTGACACAAGAAGTTCGGATAATCCCAGCCTTCGGTTGACATTTTCAAGAGAAATTGCCAGCTAGTTTTCTTGAGGAAATTGGGGGGAAAAAAAAAAAAAAGAGTGGTGAATACAATGTCACAATCGATGAGATGTATTTTCGCAGTCTTTCTACCATTTTCTGCGCCAAATACACCGCGAACTTTCCCGAAATCAACACAAAATTTGTGTTGATTCGGGTTTCGCTTCCTATATCGACCAAAAGTAACACAAAAAGACAAACATGTTTATCAGTGTAGAAGTGAATTTGAGACTTTGCCGATACGATAAAATTATTTTTTTTCTGTAGCAAAAGTTTGCAATGAGCCGATTAATACCAAAATCGCGATCGGAGCAATGTACTTCCTCAGTCTTTCCATCGTGTTCTGCGCCAAATTCACCTCCAAAGAGCTGCAAAATTGCTCATTTCCAAAGTGAAAGGAAATCGCCAATTTGGGGCCGGCATCGTTAATGTACATCAACGTTTTCTTTCTTTCTTTCTTTCTTTCTGCCTTTTTTAGAGGTGTAAATGGCCTTAGATGCTAAAGCACCGCTTTAAAATAAAATTATATTACTACTACTACTTTCTTTCTTTCCTCGTAAAGAAAATTATAATGAAAATTGCGTCCGACCCATGAATCATTTTCACGCAATGGAACGAATTTTAAAATTTTCGTATTTGGGTGTTGCTTTTGAAACAAGCGCTTCACACTGAGCTTAATCCTTGAAACCTCATTTTTTGTTCTTCATTCCTAAATCCGACAACACCGGTGAGTGGGCGAGACAGTTTCCAAGTTCTCTGCCCAGGTTGCGCCACTGGTACGGCACCGCGAAGCGAGAGAATTTTGCCATGCAAAACACCCGCTAATTACCTATCAATCCTCGCCTATTCGATCGTGCCATTCAACAGCGCTTAGCGTTCAATAGACTCAATTAAATCGATTAAAACCGCCTTCCTCACAAATTCACCCTCTTATATCGTCGCTTCTCTGACGTAAGCGCCTATCTCACTTTACACTTGAGCCCTATTCTCAATACAACTCTATGCTTTATAAGGCTCATGTGGTAATAGAGATTCGTCTTTATACCAGGTAAGCGACGATATGTACGAGTATTTCATGAGTGGGAATTTCGTTCGGTTTTGTTTTTTTTCCTTCTATTCAACTATGATTTTTGCTCGGTAGGGCCGTCTATTTTCGCAAGAACTCAGCGGGGCTCTGGTTTGCGAAATTTTGAGGACTGGCGCCCTACTATTCTGCCGTGCTAAGGAAGAACGCCGTATGAGCCTTCAGACGTTGCCAAATTTACTCTGATAAAATCCGAATTTATTGGGGAAATTGTAAATATTTTTCTTCCAATTTGTCAGAGAATTTTGTCCGTAATTTAATCGAAAATATCTGAATTTTTCATGGAAAAATATGCAAGAATGTTGTCAAAAATAAATGTTTTATCAAGGTAAATTTGGCAACTCTCGAAAGTTCGTACGGCGTTTTTCCTTAGCACGGTAATATTACAGAGACAGCGTGGCAAAATAAGAGCAAATTTTATGATGAAGAGATCATCTGTTAGTCGAGAGATATTGGTATAAGCTCCCATGAATTCTAAAAAGTAATGTTGGAGTTTAACAATTAAATGTAATATTTCGCAGAGTTTAGACTCATTTCCCTAGTATAGTTTGTTTTAGAAAAATTAACAAAATCAGTATCTTCAAAGGAAACTCTTGGAAAACTTTTAAAATATCCAAGTTCAGAAACCTTTTGTCGTTTTTAAAGAATAGAGACCACCTTGCGGTTATACAAGTTTTCATACCTTCGTTTTTGTACATTTTGATATAATTTTTAGGAGTAGCCAGCTTAAGGATTTTGATGAGCTAAGGTGCTTTTTGTGGAAAACTTATAGTGTATTTTTATTCATCCAAGTGACTTAGCATGTAATTATACCCGGAATACCGCAAATTATTTAGTCTTTGCATCAAGCCCTTACCTTCACTTCAGGAGAGATCCGCTCGTTCAATGGCAGACAACACCTAAAATAGAAATAAATAAACATTAATTAATTTATTTTTGTGTGTTTATATATGTTTCTTTGGTGAACATGATCCAATTGACCAACTCATCTCAGCAAAAAATTTAATCGAGTGGAACATGCCAAGAATATTATTGTTAATTGAGAATTTGAGATGCTAAACTTTAATTGATACTATCATCGAAATCCTTCAACTCTATGGAAATTCGCAAAAATTAGTCAACTAGGTCGCATGTCAAAGAAAATATCTGAACAAATCAGAGTTTTCATTCGGCAAATATTGTATCATAAAATTAAACCCTGAATTAGAATATCGACGAATTTCTCCGAAAAGTATTCGTCAAACATGAGTGACGTACCTAATGGCAAAAATTTACGGATTATTCACGTAAATATTAGCAAGCATTTCTTAGTAATGCAGAGAATCCCACGCAGTGGCGTGGCGTGAATTGCAATGTATCGATTGTTCTGCCATTTAAATCTATGGTAAAGAATCGATTATTAAGGTGTTCGCTGCGAACACCCTGTTAATCGATACTTTTCCATAGGTTTAAATTGTATAACAATCGATATATCGCAAAGCACGCCACGCCACTGATCCCACGTCACGATTACCAAATAGTGTTGGAAAACCAGCATACTTTGTATTGAGTCTCATGGGAACTATGCTGATTTTAAGCAAAATCTAGCAACTATGTCCCAGATGGGTCCACGATTGCAACATTTAATTTTAATTTGAACTTTTTTCATGTTTAATCTTAAAGAAGTGACGATTTGCCCCAAAATACTTTCGTCGTAAATGATTGATGCATCCCATAGCAAAAATTCACAGATGAAATGTCGTGAATAATGCGCAAGCCTCTATATCATAATTCATAGAACCCCAGATAGGTCCACGTTTACCGAATGCATGCACTCTGGGAAATGTCGTGTAATGTGCCCTTTATGAATGTTATGTAGACAGAATTTATGAAATATCACTCGAGACAAATCAGTACGACGACTGCCATTACTACTTTATTAATTTCTGTCCTCTCACATAATTTTATAAGTATGAGTCCAGTGTGCACTGGACTGTTTTGTAGAAGAGAAAGCGCACTATTCAGGATTCCACTTTAATGTATTTATCATCGAAAACTCTAAATTGTACAGAATATACCCATATAAACTGCCAAAAAATTGTCGAACTTTGAAAGAATAATTTTAATTCGATTAAGTCTATCAAATATTTAAACTGCTCAACGGACATTCAATCATGGGCCATTTTTCACCGAAGACTTAAAATTAATGACTACGGGCTTGGTGTTTGAAAGCTTACTGGCTTTGCTAAGTTTTTTCAGACAAAAATGACCAAAATTCCATAATCCTCCCAATCAACGGTCTATCAAAATCCACGAAAATTGAACAATTTTCACGATTGCTTAAAACATTTTCGTTTCATTACCTCCTTTTTTTTATGAAGTTGTTAACTTCACGAAATCGTTGTTCCAACGGTTGCAATAAATGTCAATTGAGAGGGATGCGTCTTAAAAAAAAAAAAATCTCTAAAAAATCCTTAAAATCTTCCTGTTTGCCCTCATATTTTTTGGTAAAACAAAGCAAGATTTCAGATGTTTGGGCTCACTTGCGCATGTCTGTGATGCAAATCCCTTTAAATATGCACCTCCTAGGAGCAAAGGGAAGTGAGCTCTCCTGCACAATGTACCATGACATTGTTAGCACATCCATCCTCTGAAATAAGTTTTTCAGTTTGTAGGTTTGGTCTCAGATTTCTCTGGTCTTCGGGTCTACATGCCTTGCAGCAGTAAAAATCTAGAGTAAAAATCTAGCGGGACTATATCACTTTCATATCACCACTCCTACTTCTCGGACCAGGTACATGCATTGGCAATAAACCATCAGTTTAACCTGATGCATTATAACTTATCGTGACGCAGGAGAAAAATGCTCATTTGCTATAGCACGTTAATTGAAATTTTTGCACTCGTGGGCTGTAACATATACCTTGCCGCTGCGTTGCCACTTTGCCTCACTAAACTTTGTATAAATGATTATACTAGGTAAAAGCATATATTATGCTAGAAATCGATTTTTGTTGGAAATCAGGTGTTTTTCAAATAGATATCGGTGGCTACGGAACAAGACCTCTTAACTAAAAATTTTGACGAAAAAGAGTTAGCAACTTTACCGTATTTCATAGTATAAACTACGTAAGCTGATGCGTTTAGTTTTTTTCCAATTCAGTGAGGGAGCGTACTTGTAATGACGGCTTAAAGTATAAAAAAATTGCAAACCTAACGTCAAAAAAACATAAATGTTGACGTTCATTCTTCGTCGTATAAACTCGTCTTTGTGCAGATAGGGTGGTATTTTTCATTCGCCTGCAGCTATACGGGTGCCCATAAACAAAGATATAACCCTCAGTTGGTTAATCTCAGTGAAATTGAATGACGTCGCTTTGCCTGCGCAAGATCCGTTTAGAGTAATTTAGAGGAATGTACGCCAAAAATGTCAAATGCTGTCGAGCATTAAGAAATTGAAATCTATTTTTGCGTGAACTGGGCTAAAATGGTATCAGTAACTTTCTTAACAGTTTCAATTCGAAGAAAACTAAAAATCAGCTAATGAATTTCTATGTATTTTACGACGCAGAATCAGTTGAGTGAGGTCAACGACAGTGTTAATATTCCATTAGAAGGTCCCGAAAAACTCTAGCGTGGGCAGAGCGATTTTATTTAATTTACTCACACGTATGATTAATGAAATTTGACGTACCTCCTAATACATGAGCATTGAAAAGTTTTCCCGCGATAATTTATTTGCCAAAATTTGGCAACGTTGCTGGCGGCACGGGTCAAAAGGATTGCCACGCGACAAGAGATAGTGTCAAAAGATGCGGTGTCGAAATGGTGATTGGCAGCGTTCGGCACACGAGACCCAGGGGGAAAGGTCTCTATTTTCTGGCGAAAAAGAACGGTAAGCGATGGAAAAGATAGAATAGCGCGCACTGTGAGCAATTAGATCACAAATGAGTGTCACTCGTGCTATTCGCTGCTCTAAAGGTGGCTCCTGGTCGTTTGAACTAAAAACACGTTTCTACACCCCACGTATTGTAGGTATGTGGTTTTTTGTTGACACCTAGCATTTTGAATCGTTTTCATGGAATAATCTACGCGAGGGCGAGGTTTGAATGATCGATTATTGATTTTTCATCATTTGAAGCTATGGTGAAAAATCGATTTTTAAGGTTTTTCGTTGCGAGCCCCCTCTTCATCGATTTTTTTCCATAGGTTTAAATGGCAGATCAATCGAACGTATTTCTGCCAAACGGAACTAAGTGCATTAAGACATGAGCCCTGAGACCCATAACAATGCATGTATAACAGGGCTCACGTCATAATGCACGTAGTTCCGTTTGATAGAAATGCGTCCAATCGATAAATTGCAAAACACTAAATTTGCTATAATTATCAGCAGCTCGGTCGGGGCGAACTCCCAAGGTCCTTACAGAAAATTAGGTCGATGCTCTTCGAATCAAAATAAGTATACACCTATTTTATTTCCGTGATTGAACTTACATACTGTGATCATGTTGTGACTTACTTCAAAAATGTAATAGTTTATTTTAGTCAATTTAAATGTGCATCTTTCTTTTGGCCGATTTAAAAGTTTTAAAAAATTGCTGTCAAGAGCTTGAAAAGTATGGTATGCATGTACCTTGATTTATTTTTCGAAACTGCCTGATGACCGGAAAAATTATAATACCGTCTCATAAAAACGGGTTTTAGTGTCTTATAGTTAGGGGTCTTTAATGCAGAGTAGATGATTGAGATTAGGTGAAACACATGATACAACTATTTCAACTTCCAAGTAGGTAAAATTACATATCCACAAAAGTGAAGGAGAATTATTTCTCTTGCCTTCTGCCGCTGACTCGGAGACTTTAACGCAAAAGTAGAAAAGTTAAATGGGGCAAAACATGTGATACAACTTTATCAGCTTCCAAGTGGGTAAAATTACATATCCTCAAAACTGAAGGAGAATTTTGTCTCTTGCCCTTTGCCGTTGACTCGGAGACTTTAACGCAAAAGTAGAAAAGTTAAATGGGGCAAAACATGTGATACAACTGTATCAACTTCTAAGTACGTAAAATTACATATCCACAAAAGTGAAGGAGAATTATTTCTCTTGCTCTCTGCCGCTGACTCGGAGACTTTAACGCAACCGTAGAAAAGTTGAATGGAGCAAAACATGTGATACAACTATTTCAACTTGCAAGTAAGTATAACTGTATGTCATACTTCGAAGCGGTTATACCAACTCACTTCTCACATTTTATTTTTATAGGAAAAACAAGGAATATTCTGATTTGATATTTAGAAAGTTTATTTTTCACAATCAAATGGAAATGACGGGAAGTTCGTCACAGAATGTCATTTATTCTTTTGTTAATGAAATATGAGAGAAAATCACAAAACGTGAAATACAGCTGGGCCTATTCTGCGTTATAACGGTTCTGTCCAAATTATTTACAACTTCGCCGACTGCCTTAGGCAAGCTCAAAGATCGTTAATTGTGCAAAACTTCAGCGTACGATTCCCTACCGTGAACAAAGAATTCGAAGAATTCATTTCATTTTTCAATTTCTTATTTTTTTATGCCTGTGATCGGCCATGATCTCTGCGTAGCCGACTACCATTGAGGAGGTGGTCGCAATAATCTCCTGACACCAGTGGCGTGGCGTGTTTTGCGATATATCGATTGTTATGCCATTTAAACCTATGGAAAATGATCGATAAGCAGGGTGTTCGAAGTGAACACCTTAATAATCGATTCTTTACCATAGGTTTAAATTACATAACAATCGATATATCGCAATTCGCGCCACGCCATCGCAAGACACATTCACGGCGACTCATAGGTGAAGTCGTAAAAAGAACATCAGCTTTTACGTTAATGGGAGTGCATCTGAGTGATCGTCGGCGCTCCTCTGAAGTGAGA